GTGACGGCGGCGGCCTCGTGTTCCAGAACGTGGGACACAACCTCAACCATGGCCGTCTCAGCTTTCCTGCGCGCTTGCGGAGGATTTCTTCTTGACGCCATAGCGCTGATGACCGTACTGACGTTCTTCGAGTCTTTATAGAAGTGCTTCCAGCGCCAGCGCGAATCGCACCCGTCGCCAAATGTGTGCGCCAGGAGATCGCCCAGAGTGACATCGAACTCGTCGAGCTGCTCGACGATGAAGTTGATGGCCTCCTCCTTTTCTCTTGCAACTTTGGCAGCCTCTAAAGCGGTGGCGTCTTGCTTTGCGCGAGCTTTGAGCTCTCTCTTCTCCTCGTTCAGGTCGCGGTTCCTCTGCTGGCCTTTGAGCTGACGATCGACGGTGCCCGGGCCCCGGTCTGGAGAGGTTGCATAGACGCCGGAATCCTGGCTGTCGACACCGATGAGGGGGCGATTGGCATATCGGCGAGGGAGGTATTTGGTTTTACGTGGGTTGGCGCTTGCCGCAGCGTGGGAAGGAGGTTGTGGGTGGCTACTGGCTTTCAACGCAGTCGGAGCGGACAGCGGCGGCAGCTCCCGTGGGTCTGCTGGACTCGCTGCCAGAACGAAATACCGGGTGAGCTCGCGAAGTGCATTTTGTTCTAGCTACTCACGCGAGGCCTGTGATCCTTCACTTTCATTCCCGAAAGAATAGACTGCATCCTCCATCAGGATGTCGAAAGGATGGGACGCCGATGTGGACGCTTGAGGCAGAGGTGCTTCTCCTGGAGTGGGGGAAGTTCGTGGAGGTGAGGTATTGGGCAGCGATGACAACGGGCTCGAAGGACGTGGTCGATCCGATCCGTCGAGCGGCCATGAGACGGGCGTTACGGGGCGCTTGCCGCCTCCAGACATCCCGCCGACTTGCAGCAAAGTGAGCAGTTTTTCTCCATGCTGGCCTTTGGACTCACAAGTATCCCAGGCCGTGGCTTGTACCTGCACTTCTATATGTCTCGCCTGAATAGAAAGCGTTGAAGACAAGCCGTCTATTTGTCTATCGAGCCGCGACGGCTTGCAACCGATCTCGCGGAAGCAAACTATCGGCCTCTGCCTTTTCTCCCTCTCCCCCTCGTCCTCTCCTCACTATGCCACCTAAACGAGCTGCACAGCCCTCCAACCCTCAGCGGAAGTCGCGAAAGCGACAGCGCATACGTGCACCCCATACACATACCGGACCGGCTACACGTGCGGCCTTGACCGAGGAGCAACTTCGACACCTTCGCGAGCGGATGGTGGAACAGCTCAAAGGGCGCGAGCCGCGTTACTTTCAGTTCCGCCTCGCTCAGGCTCAGGAAGAGGGGCAAGATACTGTCTGCCAGGCCGCCACGGGTCAAGGGAAGACAGGCGCTGCTGCCGCGCCGTATGCACTGGAGAAGAATGCAGACAAAGTGACGCTTATGGTCTCGCCGCTTATAGTGCTACAGAATGAGATGGTGCGAACCTTCCACTAGAACGCGAGGCTCGACTAACGCTCCGATTACAGGTGAAGACTTTCCGAGACGAGTTCGGCTTGCCTGCAGTGGCCATTAGCAGTGCAGTAGAGATGACGGACGCATTATTCCGCGTGCGTGGCCGTGGTCCTTCATCGTCCCATACAAAGCTAATTCACATGTGCAGGACATCGTCACAGGCAAATACCGCATCGTATTACTCTCACCGGAGATGCTGTTGTCTACTCGGTTCATAGAGCGCGTCATACGCAAGCCTGCGTTTCGCTCTCGGGTGTACTCAATCTTTGTTGACGAAGCTCACTGTATCTCCCACTGGGGAGCAGATTTCCGCAAACAGTATGGTCGAATCGGCACCGTGCGCGCCTTGCTTCCTCCCGACGTTCCCGTCATAGCGGTCTCGGCGACGCTGACTCGCCGGGTGACGCGCAACGTCGTCGACACCCTTCAACTCAACCGAAGCAAAGAACGGAGATACCTTCACCTGAACATGGGCAACGACAGGGCGAACGTTTCCCTCATCGTGCGGCCCATCCTCAATGCTATGAACACCTACACAGACCTCGACTTCGTCATACCGTCGCAGCTCTCCCAGGCGCCAGATATACCGAAGACCTGGATCTACGTCGACAACATCAAGACAGGCGACGAGATTGTGAACCATCTGCGCTCACTCGTGCCAGAGCACCTTCACGGCGTCATCCGGCCTTTCAACGCGGTGCTGAGTCAAGAGTACCGCGAAGAGGCGATGCGCCTCTTCAAGTCAGGAGTCGTCCGTGTCCTAGTTTGCACGGATGCGGCTGGTATGGTGAGCACTTCGGCTTCTGCCAGCTAATGTACGCATTTAGCTGACTCTTTTCCAAGGGCTGCAACGTACCCGACATTGAATATGTCATTCAGTGGAGGAAGACGGACAAGTTGTCCAGCTTCATGCAGCGAGCGGGACGAGCAGCACGAGCATTGGGTGCAGGCTTCGCGATCATGCTTGTAGAGCCCGCTGCATATACCGTGTACATTGCTACCGTGGTCGGAAGAGACAAGGCATCGGGAGACACCTCTTCAGGAACACGACCATCGGCGACGACGCAGGCGAGCAAGAAGGAGAAGAAGATGTACGGGCGTGCGCACGGTCGGTACCGCGGCGCTCGCAATGGCCGTGCGGACGTCTTCCCTCCTTCGCCCGAGTGGGTGCAGCTCCCAATTGAAGAAGACGACGACACGGAGGGCATGTATCACTTCGTGCAGTCCCGGACGTGCAGGCGAGAGATTCTTTGCCAAGTCTTTCACGACTCGAAAGCCAAAGGTATGTCTGCATTCGAGGTTCATTCACGGGCAGTCAGCTGAGTGTCTCGAAGAATATCCCGTACCATGCTGCGATGTCTGCTGTCCGTCGCTCCTCGATCTCGTGCGCCCGGGCAAGAACAAGAAGGAAACCTCCGGACCGCGCCTGGCTTTTGAGAAGGAGAAGTCTCGCTCGCTTTGGAATATCCTTGACGATTGGCGAGAAGAGTATACTCGGACTCACGCGGCATGGCAAGCGATGGGCCCGGAGTGTGTTCTGTCTAACGAGATCATGGACAGAGTGGCGCGTCTGAAGCTGGACAAGTTCAACCAGCATCTAAACAAGCTTCTACAATCCGAATGGATATTGTGGGATGAGCAGGGAAAGAATCTCGTTGATCACATCTTGGCTTCTTACCCTCATCATGGCGAGACCGGGACAAGCGAGCGTCCATCGCCTTCGATGGGCTCCGTCACCCTAGTTTCTCAAGTCGAAGATGTCACGTCAAGCCTCAGCGAACCCGAGCGCAGCGCTAAGCGACGTCGAACAGATGACGGAGAAGGCAGGGGCGGGGAGGCTATCAGCATCGCACAGGTGCGTCTTGATGTTGCGCGCTTCGGCAGAATAGCTAACAGTTGCTTCCAGGGCTCCCCAGACCTGCAGACACCGCGCTCACCGCCGCTCTCGCTCCAGGAATCCGCACAACACGAAGAGCAACGAATAAACCCTCATCCGATCGCGCCTGCGGCTGCGCCCTCGCCTCTCACTCGCCCCCTTCGACCACTCCCTCGCCCGCGCGCAAAACCGCAAGCACCATCCTCGGCGTCGATCCATCCAATCGGCTCCGACGGAGCTCGGACGACAGGACAGTCGCCCTACAACCTCTCGTACGCAACGCCCGATACACGCCCATCTTCACAAGCGTCCCGCGCAGCAGCCATTCATCAGACACCATCAACCAGACCATACGTTCACACTCATACGAACGACGAGAGTGTGCCGTTCGCGACGCCATGTCCGCCACCGCGCGTCGACACACGGTGGGCTCGCACCGGCGTCACGGCTGTGTCCGCTCCATCCAATGGTGGTGGGCAAGGCCTGGCATACAGGGATGGGGTACCCCCAAGCCGTCAACCACGTCCGTCGCTTGCATCGATTCCCACACCACCCTCAACCAGCCGTCGGCCACTCGCTCCGCTGCAGGCGCGTGCTCCACCATCGTCTCTATCACTGGCCACGCCGAATCTGCGGCCCATGTACACGCAAGAATATCTTCGACCGCCGGTCGCAGATCACAACGGGTACGCGTCCGCTGCTCGCGACGCTGTACACTCACAATCAAACACGCACCATGCAACCCCTCCTCACCCCAGCAACACGCCTCGACCTTCCTCTCACTCTTACGCCACCCCAGTCGGTACACCTCTGCCAGCATACGTCGTGGGACAGCAAGAATTCGCACCTAACGTATCCGCGGCGCTGCGTGCCGACACCATGCGCCTTGGAGCCCCTTGTCTTCGTGGAGGTTCTTGTCGTGTCGGCCGGACGTTGACTGCAGGCATCGTGCACGTGGCGCGCAGCCCCGTTGACGGCGCAATGCGGCCCCTCAGCATCTCTCAGAAGGCGACAGTCTTGTGTGAATGCGTTTTTCACCCAGACTATAGGCGTATTTCAGGCCAGTATACCTAATACATGCAGTACAACTCGATTTCTCCATCTCGCGAGGGTACAGGATGTTACATTACAATACTGTCTACCATAATATGTATGTTTTCAGCCGGCTGGACAGGTCAAGAGAGGAGGACAGTCGTCGCGGGTTTGGCATGTGCCACAGCTTGCCCCTCGTTTTCACTAAGTCAGACGGGGGTCCCATGGCCCCCCTTGATTTGGCTTCCAATGAGCCCAGCCCGTCCTGCGGACGGCCCCGCGAAGCGGGGTAATTTCAAACGCAGGACGGGCTGGTTCACGAGCCTATCGGCGAGTGCAGGTTTGCAGGTTTGCCGACGGGCTTCATTATGGAGAAGTAAGTCAAACAAGGACGCGGAGAAGTACTTGCAAAGTCGGTGATGCGCATTACAGTAAGCGTCTGCACACTGTATACACATTCGTTCAGCAAAAGAAGACACCGGCCGCTGTGCCCGTCGTCTCGCAGCCTGAAAGGCCATACGTGCCTGTTTGCATACGCTCGTCGACCATGGAAAAAGGCAGGTAAAAACTTGGCAATCTATCCTATTCCCCACAGCCGACTTGAACGACTGACCTCCTCATAGCATCCATTGAGGTACTAGTGAGGCGCTCTACCACTGAGCTAGCAGGGAGTTGTAATGGTTCACGCTGTTATAACCTCACTTTGCGTAACACCGCAAAACAGCAAATGACGGCAAAGACGCGCTGCAGACAGAAGGGTCAGACACAAGAGAGAAGATGCATCGCCCTAATACAGACGCTGTTAGAACTACTCGAACCGGCCAGCGTCCACCTCATTCTTAAACCACTGCAGCGTGCATCAGCGATAGCTTACAGCAGAGCCCCGACATCCTCACCTTCATCGTCATCTCCAGCCCCTCCTCCACCTCAACCTCCGGCTCATACCCCAGCACCCGCCTCGCCTTCGCGTCACTGAACGTCAGCTGCGCCGTCACCAGCGACACCGTGTACGGCGTCAGCGTCGCCTGCGTCCCCCGCAACCACGCCATCCACAGTGAGACGTGCGCGATGACCAAAGCCGCCCAGCGCGGGATCACCACACGTTTCTTCGCTGGCGGCGTGCGACCGGGGAACGCAGCGTCCATTTCGCGCCATATCGCGCGCGCGAAGTCCCAGAACGGGAGCCGCCCGCTAGCGCCGTTGGTTATGAAGAAGACCTCACCGGCGACGGAGGGTGCGGGAAGGTGATCGGCGGCGAGGACGAGGCCGAGGGCGATGTTACTGACGTACGTACGGTCGAAGAGCTTGTTTTCAGAGCCGAGCTGGACATGAGTTCGGCCGGTTTTCCAGCTATTATACGAGCCGGGAATGCTTTCGCGGTCGCCCACACTGGTAGGATTGGTTTCAGCAACTGCTCAAAGACTGACTGCGCGAAGACTTACCCGAATGTGGCCACAGGCCGAATGACCGCTGTGTGAAGGCCGCCCTGACCGTTCGCGCCCAGGACCGCCTTCTCTGCGAGCATACGGGTCTTGCTGTAGATACTCCTGAAGTTCTTGGCGTACGGGAGCGTCTCGTCGCCGTCGACTATGTCTGACCCGTCGAAGACGACAGATGAGCTGCTGTGGTAGACGAGCTTCTGTACACCGGCAGTGAGCGCGGCGTCGATGGCATTCTTCGTTCCTTGTACGATGACTTGCTCGAAGACATGTAGCTCGTCTTGGTGATAAATGGACAATGGTGAGATGGTGTGGATGACGCACGTCGCGCCGCTCTACGAGAGTGGTGGAGAGTCAAAAAAGGGAGAGATAAACGCATCAGTAGCGCTCGTCGCCAAGGAATTAGACGGTGGCGCACCTTCCGTATGGCACTCAAAACTTCGTCCTTGCTGCAGATGTCTCCTTGGTAGAATGGAACGGCGTATTGGCGGTCTACTAGGTCAAAGATAGACACATTGTCTCCGCGCGCCTTCAGTCTCTGTACGACGTGCCCGCCTACAAAGCTGTCCCCTCCGAGCACCAGAAAGACATCCTTCTGCACGCTCATGATGGCGCGTCAGTTCTGCAGGCGGGTAAGACACGCCTCATCCTGTAAAAATCGCGCGACATACCTCTCGTTTACCCGTGTGATACCGGTTCGCAGGCTTCAGGCTTACTCGCAGTTCTCAATAGATGAGGCCAGGGACAAAGGTGGAAGCTGACGATGAGACGATGAGACGCCAAGCGGTTTTGCATATTTGATCAGCAGTCGTCGGAGTCTATGTGGAAGACAGCAACCAAGCAGCAGCCCATGCCTGGAACGGTCGCGAGGGAAGCCTGGCGAGCTGCGAACCCTTAGCGAACCCCCAAACTGTGGCGGCCGTAGTCTCGAACCCAGCCGTTCGCCGCGCCACGGGTTCCCCTACTTGGACCCACTAATCCACGTGAGAAACGTGATCCCACGAGGGCGGAATTGAGCGGAATTGAAAAGTTGGAACCCGTGAGCGCAGCGAACGTCTGGCGCATTCGGGCGCCCTTTCCTAGGGTGACCTCATAGGTGAAATTCGATTGTCTCGCGAACTTCGCGAGCGACAACCGCGATGCGTTGAGCGGTCTGAGGGAAAGTTCGTGACTAAGGCCTCATACATAGCTGTACCCACGTACCCCCCGCGTCGATGCAGGCTCCGTTGGCAGCACAGCGACGCGTCCATTGGGACTCGGGAGCGCGAGGGCTGCGTGGTGTCACGTGATCTTAGCACCTAAGAGGGCTTTGCCAGCAAGGGCGGGAGCCACAGCCCTCACCCTTGTGAGAAACCCCGCCGCGTCGCAGACGCGACTATACTACACCTCAGAATTAATGCTAGTGCCGACACGATGGGTTTTCCGCGATGCAGAGCGCAAACCGTCACCGTCGACATCTCACGCACCGCCACGTGGACGAAGTGCACGAGGGCTGAGTCAGCCACCCACTGGCGCCCAACCTTGTCATTTTCCTCTCACAAAGGGGGCGGCCATGCCCAGATCTGTAGTCCAGCGTATCTTGGGCCACTTTGCGACGAAAGCTCTCGAAGCTGACCAGTGCTCGCGTTCAGTGCATTCGCGTCGCTCGACGCTCGACCACGCGCGCGTGTTGTTTTTTCACCTATGACATCACCCTAGGAAGGAGGCCCGAAATGCACCAGACGTTGTGCCGCCCTCCTGCCCCGACTTTTTCTGTTCCTGGTTTGATGGAGAACGTGGGCCGGGCCGGAGGCGGCACAGCGGATGGGGACGAGACTATGGCGGCCGTAGCAGGTGACAACTTGGTGAGAGACTAGAGTTCGCTCTCAGAAGTACAATGGGATCGGAAGTCGGGCCGATTCAGCACGCGACAGTGACTCGACATGACTCTTGCTGCTCAAGACTACCGTCCCGAATCAGTCCAACCGGGTTGTGCTCCACGAGCTAGCGTGCAGACCGAGAGGGTACACAGGACTTAGATACACGGTGGTTTCGTCGGGTACATGCCAACATGACAAACAACAAAGAAAATCTGCGAGAGGCAGTCTGGCAACCATCTCTCAAGTACTAAAATACTACGATGAGGAAGTGCTTCAACAATGGGTTGCTCTTCGCTCTCTTCTTCGGAAATATCTTCTCTTCAGAGGTCGTGTAGCCTGCCAGCTTCCCTCTGGACTTGAACGTCTTGGACACAGTCCTGCCAGCGTTTGCCGCATCGACTAAGTCGACGATTTTCACGAATATGCCCTTGAGAGCCTATACCGCAGGTCAGTTTCGAGTCGGATGGCGAGGACGCTGCTCGCACCTTTTTGCACTCCTTGATACTCCCCAGGGAGTCGGCGTTGGGCACGCCGACCGTCGTACATATGCGCTGCCACGCTTTCAAATCCACCTCGTTGGCGCCAAAGTTCGACCTGAAACCGCTGGCGGTAGCGTCGGCAATGTAGGAGCGCCGCTCCCTGTTATAGCGGTTCGAACCCTCCGTCCACCCCGCGCCCACAGCGAGGGCGGCGAACTGGGACACGATATCGTCCACGCCTGACATGGCTAGGTGATTAGACGCTGCAACGGGCGGTGAGTGGCGCCAAGCAAGGAGAGGACAAAGACGCACCAGACTGAGACGAGGTCGACTATGCGCAGTGGGGACTGGTGATCCTGGGGAATTTGGGTACAATCCCGGAGTACTTATAGTAACCTGCAGCGGGAGAAGCCGGTGTGTACGTGAAAGGCGAGGCGCACTGGATGGACATCCCAGGAAATTCGTCGTCGCCTGAAAGGCTTTGAGGCTGCGGGACGGCCTTTGCGCGGCACGAGGATCTCATTCACTGAGCTGAGAAAGGGCATCGGCGCCTGAGAAGGCCGGATCGGAGGCCACCCGAAAAGACTGCATCAGAGGCCGTGCTGCAGCGAAGTAGTGTGCACGGTGTGATCTCATGAATAACCTTTGTCCCCGGCCTGGTCTACAAAGCCAGAGCAGGAGGAAAGGCCGCTTCAGAGGAGCTTTGAAGCCAACGCCGTTGCCCGAACAGCTGCGTATTTGACTGGGCACCCGTATTGGAGGTGCAAGGCGCGCTGCCAGAGCATTCCCTGGTCTGAGTGCTGTCGCGACGGAATGCCAGTAGTGCGCCAGCGTCTTGGTCGTTCGACTTCAAGGAGCTCCCGGAGATTTCCGAACTGCCACGGTGGTGTGGGCGCGTGAGGAACCTTTCCCGCGGCCACTAGCTCGTCAGCGTAAATCACCTTCGAGGTCGATAGAAGACTTGGTCATTTAGTGATAAACTTAGAAACCAGCTTCGTACATTTGCAGCTCATGTCGTTGAGCGTCCTGCCAGGTCTGTTCTCTAAGTATGTTGCCGCCGCTCATTCACGCCGCGTCTCGCGCAAGTCCGGCTTGAGTCCGGCGCCCGCCGCCCATCAAGCGACTGATGCATACTGACGACTTGTATACGTGAGAAAGACAACTATGTATAGCAGACAGGTGGATACAGATGGAAATGTTGTAAGTACAGTGCAAGATGTACGATGCGTATGCAGTTGTGTCTCGCGGTCATCGCCGTTGGCGGCGAGGGCGACGAGGCTGCAGATTGGCAGTATTGCCTTCCTGCATTACCACAAGAAACATTTCCAACAACTCATTCTCTTTCGCCGACTTCAAAGGATAGAACTTTCCAGCATCTTTGGAGTACCTCACCAGGTCATCAGGATGGCGGAACGTCCTGCATATCTGTTGTTGCCTAGCCGCGTCGACGAGATCAATAATGTTGCAGTGTACATGTTCGAGAGCCTGTAGACGGCCGTCAGAAGATGGATCGCAAGCGTGAGGATTTGCGCACCTTCCGACATGCCTTGACGGTAGGTAGCTCGTCGGCGCCGTCGATGCCCTCCGTCCTGCAGAGGCCGCGCCATGCGTTCAAGTCGACTTTATCGCTACCGAAGAATTCGTTGAAGTCGGCGTTGACGACCCGCCCGATGAACAGGCGGCGGGCCTCCCAATATTCGTCCATGGTTCTGTGCAAGCCATTTGCCAGAGCGTATTGGTCCCATCGGACGAGGACGTCCTGGGACTGAGACCCTATGGGAACCAGAGACATGATGCAAGGCGCCGACTGCGATGGCCGACGGTGAGCAAGTCGTGCACGCTGCTCAGCATGAGCGGGACGCACCGAGAGGCAAAAGTGGGGGAGTAGAAGAGA